AGAGAGAGAGAGAGAGAGAGAGAGAGAGAGAGAGAGAGAGAGAGAGAGAGAGAGAGAGAGAGAGAGAGAGAGAGAGAGAGTCCGACCCCTTCAAGATGAACTGGACCAACATTGGTTATCACCCTGATGTTTGGAATGGCAATCTCTGAAAGTTCCTTGATCTCACCGAGATGGTTCATTCCGAGCTCCTGTCGCATTGACAACAGCAAAAATGGCCAAAACTTGAACAAAGCTGAAGCAATAAAAGGAAATGGACCGTTACAAAAACGAGCAGCAGAGGAGAAAGAAACCGATGATGACGAACTCAATTGGTTAGAAAGGAGGACTTGTTGCACCATACATGATCCACAAGCATGCACGTTTTTCAAAGCTCCAACTTGAATCTGGAATAAGTGGTAGTGAAGCATTCTTCCTTTCCTTCTAGAGGAGTGAGTCCCTAGCATTATTGAACCCGGAAGGATTCAAATTTTGAACCCATGATCTGTTTATCAATTGTCACATCACTCACATCTCTGGAACATTCAGTAAGAAGTCACCAAGCATGCGCACGTAGAACCATTCTTAACGATGATGTTGAAATGTTATATATGACAATATTTCAATTTATTTGTCGAATTTTGAGAATTTTTTGACCATTTGATGCTCTTATGTTCCTTTTCCGGTGAGCCATACCTCTCCAACTTACAGCCGACAAATTCGCAACAATCAAAAAGAATGAACGGGGAAAAAAAAAAGAAGAAAAGAATGAACGACGAAAAGGTATAGACGAAGGGATGGACAAGAAGGGTGTGAAACTTCCAGGTGAATAATTCAAGTGGTTGGCCATCAGCAAGAAGATAGCAAAAGGATTAGACAATTCCCAAGTTCTTTTAGGATGTCAATCTATCTCACAATGCTGCAGGATAAGCAGGGGGAGCGGAAAAAAAAAGAAAAAAAAAAGAAAGGTCTGGAACCTGTATCCGCAATGTGGGTCTAGGAGGAATTGTCATAGGGAAGGGGGGAGAAGTTGGTGACTAAAGCCCTCCCCCTTCAAGGGCCCTACGATTTCCAAAATGCCTGCAAGTACACTCTGTCTCAAGATGCCCAAACAGACATCCCCTTCATTGTGTCCCATTCTGTGAGTGTGCATAAACTGCATACTAAAAGTAAGCTGTCTAAACCATACTTACGGCGCATCCTGTGCGCGGGGTTGCGGCACACGCGGCGCCGAGCGCACGTGCATGCACGCGCGCACACGTGATGCGGCGCATCACCCAAAAAAAAAAAAAAAAAAAATTGAAAGGACAGGGTGGGGTGGGCAAACTTGCCCCTCACTTCCAAAAATCAAACCACAAGAGGGAAAAAAGTTGGCGCCAACCCACACCCCAACACTGTGAGCACATGTGTGTGCGTGCAAGTGTGCATGTCCTAATTGTGTCCAGTATCATTTCAGAAGGGCCCCTAGGAATTAGCAAGGACCCCTCGTGGAGCAGAGACGTGGGCCGAGAATATATAGTCTGGATCAGTGTTGCACACCCCGACCGTCGGCGCCCCCTGACTGGTCGGCACCTACCGGTCGGGGGTCGTCGGCACCAGGGTTGTCACCCGGGGACCCCCGGGGGCAAAGCCGGGGCCGAGATTTCACCCCCAGACCCCCTCTCGCGGGGGCGATGACCCTGGGTCCCTGCTGAAGACCCCCGCGCCCGCCCGACCCCCGGCACCCCCCGGGACCCCGCCCCCAGCACCCAGCACCCCGGCCCCGGCCCC